ACAATAGGAAATATTCTTCTGTAGGTTTGCACACTGCTCACAAGGATACTAAGAGTTAGTCACACTAGTAGGGGTTCAGTAGACTCTGCTCATAGTGTGTAGGTGTTGATACGAGTCGACTGCATGGTTCATAATAAGCTTCATTGTCCTTGGATTAAAGTAATATATATACTATCTAATATTGTATGTCTTGGATGTATGTCTCAGAAGACATGTCTCAGCAATAGTATATATTTGCAAGACGATTGTGTGATTTGAGACATATGATGCATTTATCCGAAATAAATGTTAACAACTACCTATGTGTTAACATATATGGAATGATGTATATAAGCAACAGACGTACCCGAGACATAGCTACATATTATATATACCTACTGAATCAATGGACAATGATGCTAAGTAGAGCAAGCCGAGTCCACTATCCCCCCTCTTTGTGTGATCCCTCTAAGCCTCTCACATAACCCCTCTCAATAGGTTATGAGCCTTGTGCTCCCTGCCTACACTTTATCTACACTCTACTACATCTATACTCTATGCAGTTCTACACATCACATGCATGCACACAGCATACTACAACACAGAACTTGACACACCTGTCTGAGTATCCCAAACGCAAATTGATACACTGCAAACACACAATCTACCATACTACATACAACCCAGACATTATATGATTGTCATCTTAGTGATTATGATCATTGGCCCAGTAATAACATAATCTATGCAGGCAACACTGAAACTATAATGAGTATCACTTACTGCAACATTTAATCACTAAAATATTCTATAATATTACAGAGATCATGTTATTATAAATAACTGATCATACTACAGACAAACGTTAGAAGGATTGAGAAAGCAAACACTACTCATCTGCTATTAATATTATAATAGTACAAATGATTGATACTGTCAACAAACACACATATGTTATAACATAAATCAAATAATAACATATATGACAATATTACGGCCGAACAATTAATGTAAGACATGTCTCGGGTACATGTCTCAGATATGTCGGACATGTCAGATATAAGATAAACAACTTATGAAAGCATACAACTATCTACAGACGAATTAATAATAATAATAATAAAGTTACAAAGTACATTACAGTAACTATGGTACAGGAACAAGTACACAATTATAGTCTTTAAACAAATAACAATACTTTACACCTATGATAGTGTAAACATATAATAATGATGTATAATAACAGCAAACGGTAGAATAATACCTCTACCATTACTACAACAATGTAACAGAACATATTTAATTGTATGGAATGTAGATATACTTTAACAAAGCATAAATAAACTTATATTAAAGCTACAAAGCTTATATACAAGTGAAGTACTATGCCAATATGGCTAGTACAACAAACAACAGAAAAACTACAACAGACACACTTATTATAATGATTACAAACGAAAGCAATCATAATATAATAAGATTAAATAAATTAATAAAACGTTTAACACATTATCTCAGACAGTATAATATATAACAAAAAGCAGACACAAGCATATCTATTACATCTTATCAGAGATATGAATAGATGTGCAACTGATGTTGTAACTGCAAACACACAGAGAGATTTCTTAGCACGTTTGAAATATTACAGACATATTACAAACATCACATTAAAATTTATAAAACAAACAGTACAATGTTACAGTGTAATGTTTAAACAAAATGATGTATGTCAAACATCACAAGTTAACTTAAAACATACTGTTATATTATAACACATACTGATGAACGTATGAAAGTAAAATAACAAAGTACTAACACTACTTGTTGGATTACAAATACATGAAAGGAAATTAACAATGTACTTATGTACTTACACTACTTGTCAATTACTCAAAGAATAACCTTCTCAAATTGAAGGGGAGTAATTGAATAATATACACACTAATAATGAACATTGAATTCTTAATACAGACATATTGACTACGTTACTAAGTGAAATCTGTAATGAATCCAATGAATCTGTCGAACACAAAATACCTTATTAAAGAATATAAAAGTTATACATTACATAACATTTTCAATGCTTATAAAAGTTATTCAAACAGATAATTAATAAATTAATAATAATAAAGCCTAGAAATGGCACATATTCCTAAAGCATTCTTTGCAGCAAATGTGCAAACGTTCATGACACAAAACTGCAGATGAATAAATGAATATTCATGATGCAGAAACGTCGATCTTATTACTGATCCTAAAAAACAATAAGTGATAGAAGTTACAGACAGATATAACAGATCACAAAGGTAAATCATTCAACACAATGCAAAATAACATTGATTGGAACAAATAACAGAAGTCAACACAATGTACAATTGAACTTCAACATTAAATAAATAATAATTCCACTACAAAACGAATGCTCATACTTGGTGAATAATATTAATATAATAATCCAATTAACTTAACAATGTTTAATACAAAAATAAATAAAATACAAACAAATATCACATCATATAACAAAATAATTCATCAATCTGGACTATAGTTCATGGATAAAAGTGATGAATAATGAAAATAATACTTTGGAACATACATAAAACAATAAATAATATATCTATATGATAATACGAATATAATTGCAATATAATTCACAACTACAATGAACAATACACAGATAATAACTATATAAACAAGTATGGAGCACATACATATAATTAAATAAAACTATTAAATCGATTCTTGTACAAACAATTAATTTGCCCTCACTACACAATTAATACAAGTGTGAACAGTATTATAATACTATGAAATACATTGGATAGATACTAATAGGTATATCTATACAATGATTCAAATAAAATAAATAAAACTAATATATAAAACGTTTTACCTAGCAAATCAATTAACAAATAAAACATTGAACAAATACTACAATTGTACATACTACTAGATTAACTAAAGTATGCTAGGAGACTATTATAGTAAACATAATCCAATATATCACTTATATGTGGATTGTGTTACAATACACTATGCTTTGCAAAAAGAAAAAGCAAAGAACAATAGCCATAATACTAATAAATATTCATGACATCATGATCACAACAATTCACAATAACACTGTTAATAACAAATAATACAAACATATGTTACTAACGATTTACAACAGATAATTATGTTGGCTATTGAAGAAATAATGCAACAGATTGTATAGTTACTCAGGATGCATCAGAAACAATTCATTACAGAACACAACATTAATATACAAATATATACAATAATGTAAAGCAAACAAACAAACAATACATTCATGATATAATACATATATGATACACCTAGACACATAGCAAGCTGCCTGCAGCCAGATATAATATCTATGCAACAAATATATGTTAGTATAAAACCTCATCAATCTTAGAATGAAGCAATCTGGCAAAAACAAATAGTATTATTGATATTACTGATATACAATCAATGCAAAGCTTCAATCCAAAGACATAAATCAGCTATTACTGAATGTTTAACACATATACAAACATAGACAAACGTGGACAGTAATGATTAAAGAAGGATATCATTGCAACACCAGATATACATTTTACTAGTGTGATTCATTAGTTTCACAGCAAAGTAAAAAGAAATTACTAGTAATACTCAAACAAATTTAATAAATAAAACACACAATTTACAATCTTACACAGTGCTCATGAGATTCTGCAGGTCTCTGAAGCACATATGATATTAATAATGATTTCGAACGATTTATTGTGAAAACAATACTGTCATTGAACAGTAAACTATGTATGAACTTTGGATTAACTCTGAACAATTTCAATCATGTCAAACAGTCTACAAGACAATGAACAACGACTTAATAATATAATGATGAACAAACTACAGAACTAATGACACAACAGCAAACGAAAACTTAATAAATATCTAACAAAGCACAAAGTTAACACACAGTGGACCAAAATATACAATACAAACGACACATTTATATTATACAAATGATATTATTATATGTGATACACGAGCAAATATAATACAGACACAATGTACAATGCAGATACAATACTAATAAAAATGTTGGAACAATCTGCAAATCAAACATCTTATAAGTCTGGCCAACTTATAAATGTTTGAAGGGGAGTGGTAGCAGCACTATAACTACCCCTAAAAATAAAAATAAAAATAACTACAAATCAAATAAATGAATAGTTGCAAAACAAACATATTATTAAACTAATATATGTTTGAAGGGGAGTGTTAACATATATGGAATAATGTATATAAGCAACGGACGTACCTGAGACATAGCTACATATTATATATACTTACTGAATCAACAGACAATGACACTAAGTAGAGCAAGCCGAGTCCACTATCCCCCCTCTTTGTGTGATCCCTCTAAGCCTCTCACATAACCCCTCTCAATACTATGTCTAATTTCAGAGTAGTACAGTACAGTTCAATCAATTCTTAAAGGTTGTCAGAGTGGTTGTATTGTTCTTGTCTACCATACCTATCACACTGTCCCTACTGTAATGTATTAACAGTATCCAGTGTGCTGGAATGGATTATGTGCTTCCAGGTAATACTGCTACTGAAAATCAGAGCAGCTTGGTACAGTTCAATTGATTCTTAAAGGTCTGGTCATGTTGATCTGTCTTGTAGGACACTTTTCATATATTATGTGAAGACTATAATATTTGATGGCTTGTATGATAAGAGTACAAGGTGTGTCAAATGTAACTGTAATGATGGAAGAAACTCCTGGCCTGTGTAGGAGTTATTGTATAGATCACACAATATAGCTGTTTGTATACTCTGAAATCATCACCAGTATCATCTTAAGTGATTTTTCCTTCCTGACAAAGTTGGCTTTTCAAGAGCAAGAATGCTAGCTCAATTAGATTAAAGTCTGGTGAGTAAGGAGGCAGAAACTCAAGCTTCACACTCCTGATTATTTGTAAGCAGGTTATATGGACCTATTTCTCTTGAAATGTATACCTCTCTTTAATAATTCTATAGACTTTCAGTACTTTGTGTATAGTACAATTATCCATTACAATAACAGATCTTGGACTAGGAAACAGCTGACAATGATCCAACAGGCTCTTAATGAATTCAGTAAAGTGTTCAGTATTAAAAGACCCCTTAATGATAGTACAGTCAACAATCCCATCAATTGTAATACTATGCAAAACAGAGTATCTTTGTTTGGATAGTAAGTAATTATTCTCTATATACAGATTTTCAGATTTCTCACCTCTTTCCTCTCATGAAGAATACCTTACAGACTGTATGTAGACTCTCTAATACTTATACTTTGTCTTACATGTAAGCTCACTAATTACAAGCACTTTCATTGACAAATATGAGCTAATCTGCCTTGTAATTCAGGGTCATATACACCTTGAATTCTGCTTACAATTATTCATTTCTCTCCTGTGCCTGTTTACTTATCTACACTGTATTAGTTAAATAGATATTAAAGTAAGTAAATCATATTTACTAACCTTCTTTAATGTGAAACCTACCCTCCTTAATGTTCTCCAGATTGTTGACTCTGAACACTTGATCCTACATTGTCACTCTATAATATCCTTTAGCTTGTCAAGGTAAGTATCATTCCAAAACTCTAAGGCACCTAGGAGGAGCTATAAGATTCAATTTACATGTTACTTAATACTAACAAGTGTAATGTGTGATTTTTTTAGTTTTACCCCTGTGTCATTATAATCAAGTACTTGTGGCTGTCCTCTGATTAATTTTGTCTTTGTAACACTGCCTCCTTCTGACCATGTCCTCAAAATATGATAGACAGTCAATAATAGTATGTTCAAATAAAACAATATTTGAGCAACTAGTATGTTACAAATATAATACATTCAAACTATAGTAGTACATATATCCTATAGTACTACTATTCCTATAATAGGAATTAGACAGTGTATACCTGAGATGAGTATTTACAACACACCTTCTAATGCTTCAGGAAAAATACTAATTCAAGCTTTAATAAACAAGCTAGTAATGTAGGGTAGTAAGGGGAGGAGGGTCAAAACAAACTGAACAAACAGTTACACAACCTTATATGAATGTTAGAGTTGCTGAGTGCTCAGATCAGTCCAATCAAGGTACTTTTGGTAATTCTACTGACTTTTCAGAAAACAGGCTTTAGTACTATTCTACAAACATGACATTAAGCTCTTAAAGCCTGACTATACTCTATACCCTAGTGTGTTTCCTTCTATTATACTGTCTGAATCTACTGGCCTTGAATTGTCTACAGAAAAACTGACACATAGGAAGATACCTTCAATAAAAGTACACAAAGCTGTTCAAGCAAAGGAAAGTAAGCTAATAGACTCTGTACAAGCAAAACGTCTGCCTGGACACTCTTAAAAGCTTACAAACACTATGCTTAACAGTCAGTCAGATTCTGTACCTTCTGAAAGTATCCCTACAGTATGTATTCATTCTAACTACTCTATTTTTTGTATATCTTACTTCATTTATAGATCAAGCATAAAATGTCAGATGTACTAAAAGAAGGTCAAGCTAACAAACTAAAGGCTAGTGTCAAGTATGGCCCTGGACAACCCTATAAAGTTGCTACAGACTCAGCAAATATACAGCTTACAGTAAACAACATTACTCCTAGTATTCAGGTAAGCTTTCCTCATTCTATTATGTTGTCACTATACTAATTTATGATAAGTCTGTTGAGATTGTTGATGAAGTTGTTAATCTACCTGATAATAGTGTTGATCTCTATACTGAAGAACTGTCAGAGCTTAAATTGACTTGTACAGCTTTATTAGTAGTAATAGGTAGTAATGATAATAAAGTCAGAGAAGATGATAGAGAAGAGTTTGACTTGGATAAAGTCTCAGATGATGAAGAGTTTGACATTACTAGTATGTATTTGTATCCACTACTTGTTATTACTAGCTAATTAATAACTGTATTAGCTGTTTGTAAATCTGGCTAGACTGTATTATTAGCTACTCAGACTTAAAGACTGAGTCAGTCTTCTCAAGACACAAAGATTGTTATTCAGGTCTCTAATAGTTATACAGTACACAACCTAACCATATACAAGTTCTGGAGGTTTTGTGTTCTTCTACATCAAACAGAGGATATTATGAAAACACTTAGGAGTTATATTTCTCTTGTGTATAAAGCCCTATAGTGTAAACAAACTGGTCTGAAAATGGTTCCACATTATCTGGAAAATGACAACAATTATACAAAACTATTCTCTCAATACAAAGAATACATGGATGCACAGTAGAAGAAGAAGAAGGGGGGTGCTGTATTATGTCTAATCATCCTTACTAACATTAATGATAAATTTCAAGTAGTCTTTTCTTTATTTCTTTAAAAACTATTTACTGATAATGAACAAGCAGGCTTTAAAGGCTACAAGTTGTAAGACTAATGAAACTAAAGCATCTGACTCTTGGTCAAACTCAAACAATGTAAAGACATCTATACTGTCTATTATTGCTGAAAAGCTTCAGAAGATAGAGGCAAACTTCTATTGTCAAAAGTACAGTCAGACATGCTATAAGACATACTATAGTAAACACAAATTGTATACAAACAATCACTTGACAACTCACACACAACTTCTTGTGAGTCACTAAATACTGAACTGTTTTTAAAGCTAATAATTGTGAAGAGTAACAGTGTTAAAGGTGTTACAGCCAAAGATGTGCTTAAGCAACTCAAGATTATAGACTATATCAAACCATTCAAGGCTTGAGAAAAGGCTGTAGGTGATAACATGGGTGATCTTACAGATGTTGAGAGTAGTGTTAGTGTAACAATTCAGGATAGTCTCTCTCAACCTGTTATACTGTCATCTGAAGGAATACTCTATCAGAAGGTTTGGGACTGGCTCTACACATGTATGACTTGTCAGGATTGTGGTCAGGATGGTTATGACTATATAGTACTAGCTAATGTATTTGAGCAGAACAAGATTACATGTCTGGACAATATTACCTTTCTTACTACAAAGGATATTATTAACCTAGCTCATGATTGTAAGGTTACTGTCTTGTAAGGTCTTACTAATCAAATCATTAGATATTCAAATGAAGATATTAAAGATCATAAGGGGAAAGGAAAGGAGTAAAGAGACTATACAATCCTTGTAAGCAACTCTTCCACTTCTACTTTTAATAATGTATTGATTCTTACATTTCTATACTAAAGGTATAGTCTATTAGTAAATGATTAGAAATAGATTTGCTTTCTTGTGTCCTGAATGTTTGAATGCTTATAACTT